CACCCGCCCCATTCAGCAGCGGGCCCACATTTTCCCTAGTCTTCCTTGTGCTATTGATGTATTTGAAGAAGCCCTTCTTGTTGTCCTTGACATCCCTTGCCAGATTTAAATTCCAACTGGGCCTTAGCCTTCCTTGTCACATCCCTGCATACTCTGACAATGTCCCCATACTCCTCCCAAGTGTCCTGTCCCCTTTCCCACGTTCTGTACACTTCCTTCTTCTGTTGGAGTTTTGCCAGGAGCTCCTTGCTCATCCATGCAGGTCTCCTGCCTGCTTTGCTGGACTTCTTACTCAGAGGGATGCACTGATCCTGAGCCTGGGGGAGGTGATGCTTGAATATTAACCAGCTCTCCTGGACCCCTCTTCCTTCTAGGGCCCTACCCCATGAGATTCCTCCAAGTAGGTCCCTGAAGAGGCCCAAGTCTGCTCTCCTGAAGTCCAGGGTTGTGATCCTACTTATTGCCCTGCTCCCTCCTCGCAGGATCCTGACCTCCTGCCCCCAACCTTCACATCTCCAACTAGACCTTCTTTGTTTGTTAGTACAAGGTCCAGCAGCACACCTCTCCTCGTTGGTGTCTCCACCACCTGTGTCAAGAAATCATCATCAGTGCTTTGCAGGAACCTCCTTGACTGTTTGTGCCTAGCTGTGCTCTCTTCCCAGCAGATGTCAGGGTGGTTCAAGTCTCCCATGAGAACCAGGGCCTGTGATCGTGAGGCTACTTCCAGCCTTACATTTACCTGCATTGATTTTTAGGTGCTGTTTTATCACCTGGTCATCTGGTACTGTAAAGGTCTCCTGCAACCTTTCATCACCAATTTTTATTCAAGACAGCGAAGATGACTTTAAATAGTGAGGTGACACTAGCACCAATAAACTCTTTTCCAGGTCATTCACGAATATGTCATAACTGACCATTGTCTCCTACCCTCTATTTCCTTATCTCAAATCGATTATTCATACAGATAAAAATTGCCTCCCTATTCTCACTCATCCCTTCTATTTATGCATCCAAAGCTATTATATCTTTCTACCATAGCATTATGCTGGGAGCTTGTGTTGTGTTGCATATCCATTATCAACACTAACCCCTCTTCAAAAGTTATCACTCCCAAACTGCACACACCCTGATTCTCTGGGTGTGACTTGCATCATGGAATGGATGTTCAATTTGACATTGCATAATACTTAAACCCTTTTTATTTGGGTGGCCATAAATCACCAGTGATAATTTATGCTCACTATGAATGCCCCATCATTTACTATTCAGCTCTAAGTTTTGTTGTGTGTTTTTTTTATTATTTTTTTAAGAAACTAACATCAATAACCCAGAGACCCACTCAACCACTTGTTTATGCCTACTAAATGTTGCTACAAGTCTCTTGAACTGGAGAGCAAAGTTAATTCATCCTCCTCCTTTAATGAGTACATTCAGCCTCTCTCTTCCAAACTACAGAATAAAATGTATTAGATATTTCTGTCTCTTCTGCATCGTAACCAGTTTCACAGCCTACACAAGTAATATTAGATGCATGACTGACACGGCTAAGCAAAAAGTCCCTCTCAATAGCTTCAGCCTCCTTTACCTTCTAAATTTTTAATTACTATCAACTTGACATCTGCCATAAACTTCCCCTTTTCCTTAGTGGTACACATTTTAAATTTTGCCTCCTTTTTCTCATTTGGATCAAGAAAAATAGAGTTTTCTATATCTATTTTTAAATAGAGTTTATCAGATGTTTTAAATATATATTTTAACTATTTTGACGTTATTGCAGTATAGGCCTGCATGATGGATGCTTTATGAACTTTGTTCTTTAGTCAGCTAATGATTTACATGGAACATTAAAATTTTGCTGAAAAGCAGCTGTGTCATACCTTAAATCTCCATCTAGTAACAACTACAAACTTGAGTGTGTGGTCCTTGCCAAGGATCTCTTCATTGCATAATATATCCAGCTGAAGAAAAAAGAAGAAATAATTAATTCATTGAGACACAGAACATGGCCCTGAAACAATACACTTAGATAAGGCCCAATAAAAAGATCAAAGAAACAGAACTCACAGTTCTCATGTAAAGACAGCTTTGTCCTTTGACATGCTATGAAAATTATTTACAGAGCACCCAGCAGGTGACATTCTGCTTTGAAGATGCATTTTTAAAATATTATTCCCCCCCCACACCTTACTCAGTGTTTGGGTGTTTTTTTGTTTGTTTTTGTGTTTTTTTTTAAACATACGCTTTATAGTTGTTTTTACTTTTCTATCTCAGCTTTGGAAGATCTTGATATTGGAATCAGCAAGGGTATGGACACATGAGCAAATGAGAGATCATGTGACCAACCATCAGCTGAATTGCAATAAATGATCATGCACATGATCTTAGCCTACTTCAACTGCAAGGTGACATGCATTGAAAGGGTAAGTCTCCATGAAAGTAACATATGCTAATATTGCTTTACCACAACCTGAGAAAGCTAAGAACGTGCATGCTAACTCAAACCAGGATTTGTCTATAGCATTCAACCAAGTGTACGCATCCTTAAGGCCTTCCTCCCAAAACTATATTATTCACTGGAAACACCAACACAGTTTCCACAAAAATGCCATGTGCCCTTTAAGGAAGGGGAGGGAGGAAGGGGAGTGCAGGCAGGACTCCTGAAACACAAGTACTACTGAATGAACATTCTTACATTTCAATAAGAGCCAAGTAGGTTGTAAAACCAGAGACTGCTGCAGTGGAATTGTTAATTTAAACACAAAAGTGAAGCTGTAATCAAAAAAAAAGCAATCCAGGAGGTTTCTGAAAGGTGTTGGGGACAACTTTAACACAGATGCTAGATGGGCCAACCAGAGGCGATACACACCTTGATCTACTACACAAACAAGGAAAAACTTTTTGGGGACATGATAATCAACGGCAGCCTTGGCTGTAGCAACCATGATATAGCGGAGTTGAAGATCCTGAAGGAAGTGGGGAAATCAAGTAGCAAGGTACAGACCCTGGACTTCAGGAGACTTCTGCTTATTCAGAGAGCTGGTGGGTGGGATCCTGAGAGAGGCAGCTCTGAAGGGCAAAGAAGCTCAAGAGAGATGACAGGTCTTTAAGGACAGCCTCCTCCAAGCACAAGAACAGTCCATCCCAATACTCATTAAAATGAGCAAACACATCAGGAGACCAGCTTGGCTAAACAGGGAGCTCGTGACTGAGCTCCAATGCAAAAAGGATGTATACAGGAGATGGAAGCGGGGACAGGCTACAAAGGAGGAATATAGAAACATTGCCTGGGTATGCAGGGATTTAGTTAGGAAAGCCAAAAGCTCAGCTGGAGTTGAAACTGGCAAGGGACATCAAGGGCAACAAGAAGAACTTCTACTGCTACATTAGCAGGAAAAGAATAAACAAGGAAAACGTGGGCCCATTGCTGCATGGGACAGACAATTTAGTGACAGCTGCCTTTGTCTTGGTTTTCACCAACAAGGTCTCCCAGGCCTTTGTGCCTAGAGACAGGGTTCAAGGAGAAGAGGAACTGCCAGTAGCAGAGGAGGATTGAGTCAGGAATCTGTTGAGAAAACTTGACCCATACAAGTCCATGGGACTAGATGGGATGCATCCAAAGGTGCCAAGAGAGCTGTCAGAGTGTGGCCTCGCAATGAAATCAATCATCATTGAAAGGTCATAGAGATCAGGGAAAATCCCCAATGACTGGAGAAATGTTGCACCCATCTTCAGAAAGGGCAAGAAGGACTATCTAGGGAACTACAGGCCAGTTGGCCTCACTTTAGTGGTCCCCAGGAAAGTCATGAAGTGAGTCCTCTTGGAAGCCATTTCTGGGCACATAAAGGAAAAGGTAAGTCCATGCTGGCTATTCCCAATCACCAAGGGGAAAATCATGGTTGACCAACCTGATTGCCTTTTTTAATGAAATAACTAGATCTGTGGATGAGGTGAGAGCAGTGGATGTCATCCACCTTGACTTCAGCAAGGCTTTCAGCACCATCTCCCACAGCATCTTTGTATCCAAATTGGGACATTATGATCTGGATGGGTGGAATACCTAATGGGTGAAAAATGGGCTGGATTGTCAGGTTCAGAGGGTAGTGGTTAATGGGTCGTACTCTACACGGAGGCCAGTGACAAATGGAGTATCACAGGGGTCTATCCTGGGACTTGTCCCCCCCTCTGGGTCACTGATAAAGATGTTAAACAGGACAGAATCCACTTCATCAAGTTTGTGGATGGCACTAAACTAGGAGGGTGCAGCTGACACACTTGAGGATGGGGCTGCCATTCAGAGGGACCTAGTCAGGCTAAAGAGATGGGCTGACAAGAACCTCATGAAATTCAACAAGAACAATGGCAAAGTCATGAGACAGTACAGGCTAGGTAACAGTTCTACTGAAAAGGACCTGGGGGTCCTGGTTGACAGCAAGCTGAACGTGTCAGCAGCGTGCTCTGGCAGTGATGAAGGCTAACAGCATCCTGGGCTATATCAACAGAAGCATAGCCAGTATATCAAGGGAAGTGATTATTCCCCTTTACTCAGCACTCATCAGAACACATCTGGAATGCTGCATCCAGTTTTGGCTCCTCCAGTACAAGAAAAATTTTGATAAACTTGAGCAAGTTCAGCGGAGGGTTGCCAGGATGGTCAAGGGGCTTGAGCACAGGCCCTATGAGAAGAAGCTGAGTGAACTGGGCTTGTTTAGCCTGGAGAAGAGAAGGCTTAAGGGGGACCTAATTACAGCCTTCCAATACCTAAGGGAGGTACATGGTGGGAGAGAATGAGAGACAATGAAAACAGGGGAGGTTCTGACTGTATAGAAGAAGAAAAATCACTACAAGGATAATTAAGCACCAGAACAAGTTGCCCAGAAAGGTCATGGCATCCCCATCCTTGGGGGTTTTCAAGACAGAGATAGCAGGTTGAATCAGACTGAATGGAGGGGGACTGTGACTAATATCAACAAAGGGGTGAGCAGAGCCTGCATTTTCACATGCCTGCCATTATGTGTTCTAGTTTTAAAATCTGAAATGGTAGAACTTGCAAAGACAGAAATGCCTCTTTCTTCCCTTACCCTTCACCAAGACTTCTTCCCATGAACAATCCAATTATGTACCCTCTGCAGGGGAAAGGTAAAATAGTTACCTGTTACCCTTCTGCTCAGAGTAGGTGACAGCAGCTGATACTACACAAGGCTGAGTTTCACTCAGCATAGAGGAGCAGAAGAAAGTCTATGTGCATGCTGCTTTCCATTAAATTGGTCTTTCAGTATTGTCCAGGTGTTACCACCTATCCTTCTGCATTGAAGGAGAAATCTCTGCTGGGGCAGGGTATCCCTTCATTTAGGCCACCAAACAAAGCATCTTGCAGAAGTCAGTTTTAACACAGGTGGAAGCACATGAGCCAAAAGGCTTGGTTAATTACTTAAAACTGGACATGGAACAACACGCTGAGATGCACTGCCAACTCTGTATAAACCCAAGAACCAGTAAAAGCTACATCTCTTTTGGGGGGGGGGGGACTTTTGTCTGCATTCAGCTCCTTAACCTAAATAGCCATTTTCTATTCCTTTACATCAGGAAATAGTGTGTGCTTCAGTTTTTTGAAAATCTGGTTAGAAGGGAAGACACTTTTGAAAATAATCCATAAAATTTTCATTTGCAAAATCATTTTTAAACATTAAAACTTTACCTCATTAAAAGAAGAAAGGTTAAGTTTTTTAGCAATGAACTTCTTTAGATGCAAGACTGTTGCTTGTGCTGAGCAGCGGATCCATTTTCGTTTCAATCCACGTAATTTGCTGCTATTACATTCCAGGCAGATGCTTACCTTTAAGGAAAAGCAAACACAGTCAGGGCTGACTGACAGGATTATCTGCAGTCCTCATTATGCATTCCACGTGCAGCCTTTATTAGTCCAACAAAAAGGTGAAAGCATATAATACCAGTATTCTTTAAACTGAAATGTATGCAGTCCCACTAAAGAAAAGGTTGTCTTGTATTTTGTCAGCTTACTGTTGAGCACTATTCAACCCAAAAGGGATCTGGACAAAAGTTCAAGGCAAAACTTTAGGGCTGCCTTGTTCCAGAGCTTTAATCTAACTGCAGAGGTTAGAACTACTTCAGAAGAAGCCTAGGTCAAGGCCAAAGTGAGATGTCTAATATGAAAACCTATCAGGGCCCTGAATGCGTTCCCCTCCCCCCCAGGGGTTTGGCTGCCTGGGCTCAGGGCAAACTTTGATAAGCACTTGTCTGGCCATGAAACTGTTGTGAAGAAAGCTGTTTGATAAAAAGCTGGAAGAATACTCAGTGGGGACTCCCTCTGCTCCACTTGGCAGCATCATTTAAGATAAAGCTCTCGCCCTTGGTCCCCTGCCTGAGCTATGTTGCAGCCATGCCTGTGCCTGGCCATGTACTCTGTTGATCTGGACCCAGACCCACTGATTAGACTTCCTGGCTTAACCTTGGGCCTGCCTCATCACCATGGCCTTGCCTGGCCATCGCTACACTGTGGCTGAACCTGGCCACTGTCACCAGACCTGCTCTGCTCTCCTTGTTGGGGGGCTGTGGGACTGTTCCCCTTGTTGGTGAGGCCACTGCCCCTGCCTGCCTTGCTGTCATCCTCAGCTCCCAGCCCACCTGCCCCTATGGACCAGCAGCCTTCCCTTGCTGCTCCCTGACAAAACCATTATCAGTTTTTAATGACTCTTTCTAATATAACTTCTGAATCCAGTAACATATTAAAATATTTAAAGCATGTTTTAAAATAATATTCTGAACTTTAAAGTTAATTGATGCAGATAATGCACAAAATTTTTGAAGTTCAAAAAGTTAGATTAAAAAAAAGGCATTTTGATCTCTGTGCTTCAATTCTCTTCTTTTCCTCAACCATTTTTGTTTATTTAGTCTAAGCTCTTTAGGATAATTTTATTCTGTACACTTAAATGATCTAGTACAAAGCACAATCTCTCTGAATGCTACCATTACACTATCATTGAATGGAAAAATCAATCCAAATTTAATTTACTCTGGACACAGCTAGCAGGGAAACATGAAGGCAGTGACTTGTGTATTCCAATAGCAGGTTTCATACTTAAACAGGTTTTGTGTTTAAAACTTGATGCTGGATTTTCTGGCCTTCATGTTATTTTTATGGTAGAGGGCTAACACTGTCTTAGTTTTAAAGGTTTAAAATAAATACTGAGTAGAAAAAGGCTTTTCATTCTAATTATTGAAACATTCAGTCCTGATGCATCAGAGTGGCATGGGGGGGTAGACCCTTTCAGATAAGGGGCCCAGATGACTTGAAATCTAGTTGAGATGAAAACTAACACAGAATTTAGCTGATACTTGTAAAACTCGTAAATAGTTAGAACTATCAAACCTTAATGAAAATATGAAAAAAGAATTTCTCCACAGATAGATAAAAAACAAAAAAAAAAACCCCACACACAAGTTTACACAAAAACATGGGAGAACCCTGTATCTTGTCTCTGTCAGAGGGAAGAAAATTTTATCAAAGAAAAATAATCATTTTAAGATAAAGTGGAACAGGATCAAAGCTGAAAGACAAAAAACTAAGAAATACCCTATACCAGAAGTATGCCCACCTGTTCATCACTTCGATGATAGTCATTATCTTCTTCCTGTTTTTCCTCAGAAGTTTCTTTGTTTGAATTTTCATCTGTTTTATTTTCACCTTTAAGAAGATAGCAGAGAATTACAATAATTAAATTAGACATATCAGATGACAGGTAATCCTGAAACAAATTCAGGACTAAGAGCAAATTTTTTTTTTTCCCCCCAAAGTATTTAGGCTCATCAGAGCATGATCAGCTTCTCTAACCAGGATAAAAGTTGGAAAGCAGTTTAATCTTTGGTAGCAGAGATGCATGTGCTGTGCCTACCCTTCCTGGACACTAATCCAAAGCTTCTTCCCCCCCCCCCAAAAAAAAAAAAAAAGATAACATTTTCCTTCAGTTCAAGGCACCTTGCTACAAATTTGTCAGGACACATTCACTGTTCTGTAAAGCCAGTATGCTCTCATGACAGTCACAAATTTTAGAATTCTTTTACCCTAGAATGAACACACACACTTTTAAGTATAACCACTGCACCATTTCTATCACAAAATTACATTTAACATCAGTAGTTTCTGAAGTTAACGTGATTAAAGCAGTACTGTTCAGGACTGGGATAAAGAGTAACCTTTTCCAGCCCCAAAGCCATTGCTGTCCACTCAAGCAACACCAGCTGCAAACAGGCCCACACAGTCAAAAGTGGGAACGAGTATAGAGAGCAGCCCTCAACATAACCAACTCTGCTAGTGGCCCAAAAGCAGGATATCATCATAGAGTTCCCACACAGACATTACTGAAGATCTTCACCAGGAACACATTACAGCCAGCTAAAAGAACACATTCTGTAAACAAGTATGATGCAGAACAGCAATACTGCACTCAGGTGGCGAGTTCAAAGCTCTAGATAGTGCAATGTACAAGCACAAGCAAGCATTGTACAATACAACAATTATGAGTGCTAATCCCCCCCCCCCCAACAGAATAAACAGAAGACCATTTACCATTGCGATGTGAATCTAGATGTTGCTTTGCAGAGCATGTCTCCCCTTTGACGTCCCCTGGTACTTCCATACCCAGTTTGTGGTAGAATTCCCTCTGCTTTTTCATTTCCGCTGTTTAAAATTGTAAATATTTGTCACTGTAATAAAGTTCTAGCACAATATTTATCAAGCTATTTCAAAACCCTCCTCTGTCCTGTAGAAATAGCTTGTCAGGCAGGAAGTGGTATTATCACTTTTTCATACTTCTCTACCCTTTCTGCCATAATCCTCCAGAGGCAGAATACTACCAAGTAATTTGCAGAGCTACTATTACACCATTCTGTTATTACAGATGAAATGTTTTAAATACTATACCATACTTTGTATTTTTCCTCCTTCAATCATTCTGTCAAAACATTGGTTTTGAATTTGCATCCCTATTTTCAATATCCTAGAAATAATTTTTAAATAATCTCTTTACCTAAGCTTGCTTATAAATGTCTGATAGTGTCCTCACTTGACAGCTCAATTGGATTGAAATATTCTACTTAAATAAAAGGAGCGACACATCGCTGAAAAATAACACTGAACAGTTACTATAAAGCATTCCTTTAGTTCAACAGATTCATTGTCAAAGTAGATTATGAGAACACAAATGCAAAGGTACCTGCTAGCAAAGGCTTTAAGTACATCTTAGAAAAATAAAACTTCACCGAAACTAAGTTATTCTACATTAGTATTCTACCTCTGAAAACTCTGCAAAGCTGACACAAGAGGCATGACTACACGATTCAAAGAATGAATATATGCATGTTATAGAATGCCAACATGAGAAAGTTGTAGTGCTATTTAGCTTTACATAATGTTACTTCTCCCTGAAATAACACCAATATTTTCATTACTGATTTTTTTTTCCCCAGTAACGCTGCTAGTACTAGTCTAAAACTAAAACAAACACTGAAGTAAAGGAGAAGTAGTGCTAGAACTGGAACAAGATGGTATTTTTCACCCCCCCACACACACACTTTCTTCACCTCCCTTTTTCTTTAATGCAAAGGAAGTATATGTAAAGCTAACATTCATTAAAAATAGGTCATACCACAAAATTTACCTTCTTGGAGGCCTGGCACAAGTTTGTAAACAATATCTTGCATTGTTCTATCATGACTAGCAGGAAAAAAAAATGAAGGTTTAAATTAGCCATCTTGATTCAAAACACTTCTCAAAGAGATTCAGAATTAAATTGACTCTACAAACCTCTAAAGTCTTGTAAGAAAAAAATATTGATCTCGGATAATCAAAATATCAATCGGGAAATGAGAGTAACAAGAAAGGAATGCAGATAAGGTTCAGGCTAAGACAGGAACTGACAGAAAAATTAACAGAAGTGCTAGAAAGGATGGTCTTTATGATGCAAAGGATGGCATCCTGTGTGATATGTTTCCACCTGCATCAAGGCATGTATATCAGTAATGTACTCTCAAAATTCCTTGAGAATTTTGACAAAGGCATTTTTGGCTCAAAACAAACATGGCTAGACTGTTTCTTATCCCTTTTGATTAACATCTCATGTTGCTGGGTTGTTTAGTTATCCATACTGGCCTTTTTCAAAAACATGAGGAAAACAAGCCTATGGAAAAAAAAAGAAGTGCACAAAGGAATGAAAATTTGACTTTGCTCTTAATCCAACGTTTTATCCAAGTATACCATCCTGTAGCTCAGAATCTCATCTAGCTAAAAAGGGTGGAACAAAAAAAGACAGACTGATCCAACATAAGGCAGGAACTGGTAGGGGAGTAGGACTGGTTAAGATTCTAAACTTCTGTTCTCCAACTCACCTAGGTAGCACTCCGATGTTTTCGACCAAAGTTTAACTACTAAGCTGCCATTTTCTGTAGTACTCTAAAATAAGTGGCCTGAAAGGATCAGAAAATTACCCCAACTTCCAAACTATAAATAAAATCCAACACAACTTAAAATGTCAGCCTCAGCTGCTACCAGGGCATTAAGCCCAGAAGAGTTTACAATACCAAACTCCAGCTTTGACTCTCAGGTTTGGATTTTTAAGCGTCATTTACAGATTGCAGGAACATCTTCAAAAACATTTCAATAAAAAAAAAAAAGTGATTTTAGCTACCAGCATGAGAGCAGAGGTGAGAATTTAACAGCGTTCTTAGTCATGAAATATGAGATGTGCTTGGTTTATCTATTCCCCAGATGGATGGGGATGAATTAGATCACAGATTTATGTAATTAAGACATAATACAAAATTCCTCCCTATTAACTCTCTATTGAAAAAAAAACCACAGACTTCCAAAAGCAGGCTGGACAAAGGCTATCTGTTTTGATCTTTAAGAGGCAGTATTTTGTAACTAACTCAGGAAAATACTTCCCCAGAAGGGCATCCTCATTTTTTGAGGCAGTAGATCAGAAAACCTAGAATGAAGGAGAGGATCAATTTTTAAACAGACAGAATGCTGTGCATTCAATGGCCACAAACAACTGTCAAATCCACTTCTAGCTGTACTCAACTTGAGGCTATGCTTCCAGGCCTCTCTTGGTATTGAGAACAACCTTCTGAACCAATACACGGATGTATTCTTGTAGCTTTACAGAGGACAACCACGTTGCCTTAAGTGCCATTTGTTCCTTCTTGCCTACTGGCATGGATTTGTCGTTACTGTTTTGTCATATTTCAAAATACACTCTAGTATAATCTCTATGTCATTCTCTGACGGTACAAGAAAAAACTACTTTATTTCAGACTCCTAAAGGGGACTCCGTTTTGAGCAATTCAGAAAGTTTTTATAGGACATCCACAGTTTTCAATGAAAGTAGAGAGAGAGGTCAAATACATTTTCTATAGCCACTGCTTCAAACTGAGGTGCACATTTGAAGCACTGCCACAAACAAAAAGAAACTTTGTATGGAGGTAGACAAAAGTCTACTTGACATGCAGCAGCTATTGTCTCAATAATTTTCTATCAATGAAAGTTGATATGGTACGGATCTCTAGAGCAGATCCGGCCAAGTCAGTTGGTATAAACATTTGACCAATGCCTTAGAAATATTTTAAATGAGAGGAAACTGTTGAAGAAAGATACTGTACAAATAAACAGAAAATACACTGAAAAAGAAGGAAATTGAGACACAACATCACGTTCATGTCAGGTCACACAGTAAGGGAGCCCTGCATGGGAACAGAAAGCAGGCACAAATCTTTCAGAGACTGTTCCATTCAAGAGGTTGAAGTCATTAGTCTAACTTTTTTTGCTGCTAACTTTCTCATCTGCACCTATAAATGAAACAGTTCTTTGAAAGATTAAATCAGCAATAATGCTGTCTATTTCCGAAGTCTTTGAACATCATTGTATCAGTCACTGAAAACCACTGTCTAACTGCCAGTCATCATTCTGAAGATTTAGTACAAGTGTAATTCATGTAGATGATCCATATGTGTAACCTCTACAATCCAGGTATACAAAACAAGAAGTGATTAAATCTTATTGTGTTTGTCTGATTCAAGAGCAAAGTATTTGCCTCAAAAGAGTTGCAAATTCACAGCAGAATTCAATACCTTACCTCCATTATATAAATCTTATCTTCTAATCAAGCTTCTTTTTATATGTTTAAAATATTGATAAGCAAATAAAAAAAAAAACTAGAGAGAAGTTATGCTGTATTTGAGAGGTTTATACAGTCCAGAGAGTTACTACTTGTGCTTTTCCTTTCATGCTGCACACTTACCCAATATACTGTAATGGATGGCTCTGATGTATAACAATTCTACATGTTGGACAGGTGTTGTTTTCCTCCAAATACTTCACCAAGCAGCTTCTACAGACTAATAACAAGAACATTAACAATTAGAAAGAAATAAAATGAGTATGCAGCTGTATTTTGACAAAAAAAGAGGCTTGCTTATATACAGTTAAAGAACCACATGGCACTGAAACTAAGTTAATTTTTAATATCACTTAAGTATGTCTAATCATTTAACACAATTTCCACTATTTTTCATGAACATTCTCAATACAGAAAAGTGATGCATTGCAATTACAATAAAAAAAATTATATCTAGTCAGTCTTCCTAACAAAACATACTTAAACTGTTAGATCACAGTTCCATTCCCAAAGTTACTAGAACAGCATTTCAAATAGGTCAGCACCATGCTTACTTGCACTGTTCAGCTTCCACAAAGGATGTTATAAACACTGTATGCCATTAAGATACCTAGCCAATTTGCTGTGAATCATGGTTGCATGCAGAAGAAAAACGTGCTATGATAATAAACCTGTGTTAAAGGAATCATTTCTTTTTCCTCAAGTCAGATGCTTTTTAAAAGAATGAAAAAAAACTTTGAATAAAATGAATATTCAGGCACAATTTTACTTTTAGCTTTCACAAAATACACTACAATTAAACTTTAATCAAAAAATTAAATGAGGACAGGTCTTTAGTATCTGTCTGCTTTAACAGCTTTTACTTATATACTATAGATTAGCATGCTTTTGGAACTGTTTCCAAGTCTACACACAACTATGTATTTGATTCAAAGAAAATCAATTCCCTCATTTTAACTAATACTACTGTTTCTCCACAAAATAATAAATTACAATATAAAGTGATTTCCTGACCTGAAGTTATAAACAAACTCCAACTCAAACTTCAGAAATTAAAAAGCTAAAGTGACCTAAATTATACTGGTTTTTTTCCTATTAAAAAAGGTAAAACATTTTCCTTAAAAGGCAATTCCTTTAATCTTAGGTAGTGTTACAACAGCCCTTATAGCATAAGGCAAGAGAATTTCCGTAGCTATAGTGCCATCTACCTCTCAGGCAAGATGATGGTATGTTTGTATAAACACTAGTTAAAGCAAAAAAAGTCATTTTATATATGTAAAAAGCAGCAGCAAATAAAAAATATATATAATATTCTATATTGTATTTACATATTTAAGATGAAAGTACTGTTGCTGGTAGAGGTTATCCATTGGACCAATCCTAGCAGCTTTGCCTACTAAACTCAGATCTTGCATTGTAATCTGCTCCAGTGGAATAGCATACTAGCAGATACTTGTTCACACCAAGTAAACAAAAGAAGAACCAAACCCATCTTCTAAATCCATTAACTGGCTCTCAAGGGAACTACGCTCCCTTGGAGAAAGTGCTATTAGCAGCATATGAAGGGCTGCTAGCTACCGAGCCAGTAACTCAAGAAAGGGAAAAATCAAATTGTGCATGCCTATTCCTATTTTAAAACCAATTTTATCTGGTAAACCTTTACCCCTAGGGATAGCACAAAAGACTACAGTGCAGCGATGGGCCTTGTATATACATCACCGGGTGACAAGTGATGGGACGAGTAAAGAAAACAAGTTATTGGAGAGCATAGAGCGAATTGGGGTGCCTGTGGAGTACTCCCATGCGCCCTCCTCCCCGAGGACTGGTGCCCCTCCCTGGGATGGGAGACCAAAGCAGGGGTCCGGTTCACAGACGGGAACGCCCGGCACACAGGGAAACAACGGAGAGGCAAAGCCGCAGCTCTGTCAGTAGAGACCAGAGAAGCTTTCACAGAGGAAACGGACGGCTCAGCCCAGCTAGCAGAGCTCAGAGCAGTGGAAATTGCCCTGGAGCAAGGAGCCACTTGTGTCTATACAGACTCATATGCTGTATGGGCCGGTGCCACCCAATGGCTAGGGAATTGGGTGAAAAACAATTGGCAAGTAAGTGGTAGAGGTGTATGGGGAAAAACACACTGGAAAAGATTTATGATATAGCTCAATCTAAGAACATATCCATAGGACATGTATCTGCCCACCTAAAACCTAAAAAACCTGAGGCAAATTGGAATCAGATGGCTGATCATGTGGCTAGAATAAACGTATTATGAAATTCTGCGGCCGAATGGCGAGGTAAGTGGTTACATGAATGGCTAGGACACCCTGGGAGTTATGATTTATTTCAACAGGCTGCAAGGAGAGGATGGCCTGTGACAAAAGCTCTGGCAAAGCAAATTGTAGACTCGTGCCATTTTTGTCAAACAATGGTACAGTGTATGTCAAAGGGACAACAGTTTGCCAACCTCAGGGAAGGTAAACTGCTCTAGCAAGTTGATTATATTGGCTCCTTAAAGAGAACACCTGAAGGCTGGAAAATGCATTCTCACAGGAGTAGAAATGATGAGTGGTATAGGGAATGTGCATCCCACCCAAGCTGCAACTGGTCTAGCAACCCAACCGTAGCTGGCTTAAACAGGTGGTTTGCCACTCTTCCCTTGCCCCCCCTCCCCCGAGAAATACAATCAGATAATGGATCACATTTTAAGAATAAAGAGGTGCAAACTTGGTGTGCTTCAAATGGAGTACAATGGACTTTCCACCTCCCTTACCGACCTCAAAGTAATGGGATAGTAGAAAGGTGGAATGGATTACTAAAACAACAGCTACACAAGAGTGAATCTATGAATACCTCTAAACGGGGATCCCATTTGTGGAAAGTTGTAAGTCAGCTAAATAAGCGACAAACTCCCATGGGAGGTCCCATAGGTAAGGGATTCATGTCAGTAGCCACACAAATTCCTGTTAAATCAGAAGTAAAATCCTACTGAAATCCTGGAGATGAGGTTGTGGTTAAGCACCCCACTCAAGGATCCATCTGGGTGACTCTGTTGTCTTACAAAGGAAAAGGAGTATGGAATGCTATAGACAGTAGAGGGAGTAAGTTAACCATAACCGAGGCTTGGATTATGTCCAAGACCTAAGTGCCTTCTCTTGCAGGAAAATGTGGTGTTACCTTGTCACCGTGGGAACACTGATAATGGGAACCTACACCCAAAGCCAGCTTCTAAGAGCTTTCACCTTTTCAAGCTGCCCATGGAACAACTCGGGCATTGAAAATAAGTCACAATCCATCGTTAAAGCTGCAGTTACAGGAGGAATGCTATCTGTAATAGCACAAGGCCACGGACTGTCAGTAGGCAATAATGTTACATAAACCCTAAGATCTATGGTTAGTCTAAATTTAACGGTTTGTAATAACACTGGATGGGAAGCTGCGTATGGTTTTAACAATCAATTGAAATGGGTACTACAGACACGTAAGGCAACTAATCATACATTAGTGGCCCACGAGAAGTACATTCTAAGTGTAAAACATGAGAACAACATAATAATATATGGCAACTTTTCTGTAAACACCAGTAACAACCAATGGGCAAGTCAATGTAAATGGACAAAATTAAAGTACCAATGGTACCTGATTGTATTTCTTATAAAACATCCCAAACAACCTCCAATATTCCCCACCTAATGCAATTGCATGATGGACGAGAACCTATGATTATGGCTCCAAGATTAATGACAATGAACGTACATTTGGACCTGACCAATTTACACACCAGTGCATGGAATAAGACTTGTGCTAATTATAGTGACCCTCTCTATGCTTGGTGGCTACAAAATCATTGACCAATAGGACATAGAACTAAAAGAGATATTATTCAAACTCTGTTAGGTGGAATTGGAACAGGAATACTGAATTCATTTGATATTGAAACCCTAGCAAATAAGTTGTCAGTATTGGGAGAAACCGAAGCTGGTGCAACCAGAATGACTGCAAACTGGCTACCAACAGCTTTATAAACTTCAGTGCAAAATCGGCAAGGTACTTGGCACCTCTGGTGACACACAAATTGGCAAGGTACTTGGCACCTCTGGCAACACACTAATGTATCACTGTGGTCCCAATTACTAACTACCAAAAACGTATCACGAGAAGTTGGCTCTGCTTTATCATGTATTGTATTTCAGTTAACAAGTATGTACCAAATCGGTCAGATTTGGGTAGCCATTGAAAATAGTCAAGGACAAACATTGGAACAATTGTTCCCCGACCTAGTGAAAGGCAAATTCAAAGGCAGGTGGCTTAAAACTATTGAAGGCCCTTATTATAATGCAAACACAACAGAACCAATATTCCAATTGCTAGAGATTGGACGAATTACGGACACTCATACAAAAATAATACCTTTATGCCGATTTGCTGTCATTCCTAAAGTCTTTAATGAAAATATGTGGGTACCTACAGTAGCAGGAGATCGTTTACATTGTAATACTAATGACACTTATGAAATTAGTAAACATTGCACCTACTGGCTATCCAGTCGAGGATGGACCTGCCCTACCATGTCTAGAGCTCCAGAATTATGCAGTATGAAACACTCATCCGGTACTTGCATCTGGCAACATATCTATGGTAATGAGACACGAGTATATGACAATGGTTTTGGATGTGTGTGTGTATCCACCCTCAATGCTATTCACTTCAAAGATTCTGTTAATTTTGGACCTGGCAACATTTGCCGTTGTGATGTGACATATGTTTTTGACCAAATTACTAAGCAGACTTACTGGTTAACTTCTCATATGACTGAACAAAAGATATCTTACTTTGCACCATTTAATACGTCAATAACACTGAGAGTAACATTCCATGAACTAGACAACTTCCTCAAACAAAACACCAAGGTTACTCAACATCTGTCTGAAATTGGGAAAGGCTTAGAAGAAAGAAGTGAAAATGACATATGATAATAATGAACTGATTTGTTTAGCAAATGTAAAAACTAGTCGTACAGAACATCATTGGTATGACATCTTTACAGGCTGGTCACCAAAAGCCACCAATGTGCTGCGACTAATGTTACATCCTATGCTCGTACTGTTAATAATCTCTGTATTGTTATTTTTTGTAACCCTGATATCGATCTGTTATCTTAACAATCGAATAGTACACATGAATGAAATCTTAACTCAAGTTAAATCACATACTAACTTATTGTAA